ATCTGCTTTTTCCTAAATTTAGGCTTCTGAATAAATCGAAATTTTATTTCAGTTCAGACTTATGACAATAATTCTTGCATTTGGGTTAGGACAACTTGTGCACTTATCTAAAGATCCTTGCATCTCCATTTTATGCTGCAAGTTTACTTTCAATCATGCAAAAATGCATGCATGCATACATTGGCATATTATTTGATCTTTGCCATTATTAGCAAAGGAAAAATTTCTTTTCCAAAATATTACAGGTGAAAAGGTAAGTAAATTACAATCACAAAATATTTTCTAAAACACAAATCATAATAATAATAATAATAATAATGAATAGTTACTTGATGGTGCATTATATCTACTAATTAAGCTAATTAAGCTGTTCCATACTTTATATTTCATTTTTTTGTTAACTTTTTAGATGACACATTGTTTGACTTCTGTTTTATTTTCAGTATTCATTTGTGTCATTTTACTCTTTTAAGCATTTTCCCTCAGTTAAGTTTCTCTCAATAAGCTGAAATTTTATTTTATTTCATTTCAAAATCGTACTTTAAAATAATCAATGGCTAATCCTATATTTCTTTTTAAATATTTTGAGTAATAGTAGTCATTACATACATATTACTCAAAAATTTTTAATCAGAATCTTTAAGGTATTTCAGTTTTGCTATTGAAAAGAACGATCTGTTCAGTGCTGTTTATTTCAAATTAATATGCAAAACAATTAATGTATTAGCAATATTTAAATCATTTAAAATCTTAAATTTCATTTTGCTACTCAATAATGTCTTAAAAAATTTGTGAATTCGAAAAAATGCTCAAAAAAATTTTTTTAGAGAATACAAAAAAAAAAAATTTTTACAGAAAAAATCAAAAGAGTCATAATTTTTCTCGAAATTTAGAAATCACTAATCATTACTTTTTAACTTATCATTTTTTTTTTTTTTTTCATTCAAGTAATTGTATCTTTATGATAAAATCTGATAAATTCCGACTTACTTAACCTTCCATTCTTTTAACGTTTTCACAGACGAACGATTTATGCTTATATAAATCTGAAAATTTTTCTCATCTGTTTTTTTTTTTCATCGTTTATATGTTTTTCAAATTTATATTTGTACTTCATTAAATTAAATTTGGTAATTTGTGAAAATAATTAAAATTAAAGTTATCATGATGAAGCTATTAGATAAATGCTTTACAGGATTAGCACTTCTTGAAACATGGATTTCGAGTGAAATTAAAACTTGTTTTTTTAAATAAAACAAGTTTTCACTTACCGTTCTTTTTTGTAAGATTATCACAACATTATGATTCATTCGAAATTGGTCACTACTGTCATAAAATGAGGTATAAATTTCATTTTTAAATATTTTTATTTCCTATTTAGTATTCATGGTATAGTGTTAAAAGGTTAGTAGACTTAATTTTGTTTTGAATTTAATTTGACAAAAATTTTTCGTACTAATTTTTCAAATAATGCATTTTTGTATTCGTACATCCAGATGAAGAATTGAAAGTTAAGTTTAAAAACTGTCTATTCTATCAGCTTAGCATCACCAATTTAAGAATGCAAAATACTTTGATCAAATATTTACAATGGATCAAAACTATAGAGAATACTAAGTGTATTTAATTGTTTTATATAAACAAATTTGTTAATAGTTTAAGCTTTTATTGATTTAAAAAAAAAGTGAGATGAAGTTGAGCATAATTTTATTGAAATTTCAATGAAATCTGAAGTTTACTTATTTATCAAATAACAACGGCGCACTTCAGATATATTTCACTGATTTATGATAGCGAAATTATTCTGATTTCATATTATTACTACAATTGATGTGAACTGCGTAAATATTTAATTTACTCTTAATAATACTTCCATTCCATTATCAGCAATTGATCTTATCATACCATTGCTTTATTATCAATAAGTAATCTCAGGTACCTAGAAATCAGCCAGGTACACAGATAGTTTTTAACAAAAATTTTTGATTATATTTCTTTAAATTGATAGTGGCAAAAAATTGGCTATGATTTTTTAAAAGCAAAATTTTATCAAAGAGAAAGATTTAGAAAAAAAAATTTTTTTTTTTGTTTTCTAATTAACTGATTTCTGGTTCTTATGCTATTAAAATAAATTTTAGCATTACTAATTGAATTGGAATGAATTAGCAAAATTTCAATTCTTAATTGTATTTAAAAATATTGAGCAAATCTTCAAAAAAAGTAAACAAGGAGGGAGAAAAAAGAGAGAAAGAGAGAGAGAGAGAGGAGAACTTATTATATTACTGTGTTCTTCGGATACTTATAAAGTCGGCAAACATTAGGGTTAGCATCAATCGAAAAAGATGCCTGTACAAAGGGAAGGCAAATTGCATATAAAAAAAAAAAAAAAATGAAATAAATTTCAATTCATTTCTCTCAGAGCAATAACCTTCCATTCATTTCTCTTCCCTAAATTACATTCTTTTTGTTCTTTCATTTTCATATATTTCAGGTTTTACACTATAATAAACTAAAATTTTCTTGTTATATACTATTATTTGTACTATTTTTTATTAATTAAAGTTAATAATTTAATAATAAAATGTCCTTTTTCTTTTTTTTTTTAATGCAAGAAATTGAAACTTAATGGAAATGATTGATCCGTTTTTGTTATTAGAAATTTATTCATTCATTGTATATTTTTATTCAAATTTTATTTACCACTACTAATTAAGTATTTGTTATTGTCACATAATTTGTGATCATCGTTACAGTAATCATACTGTCAACAATATTAATATAAGTATTAGTAAAAGTTTTTTTTTTTCTTTTTCTCTTTTTTTTTCTTTTTTTTTTTTGTGCATGGGATGGAATTTTACTCTTTTTCTTCCTCCGAAGATTTCATCGAGGAGGTTGGACTTTTAGAGCAATAATCTGACAGATCGTAATATAAAGTTACTGTTTTGTAGTTTCTATGTCTGACTGGTTGGTTGGTTGCTTGTAAGATGATTGCATTTTAATTAACGATAAAATTAAACTCTTTCATTTTTAATTTGAGTTTTTATGACAAACACAGATAATTGTAACGATTCATCAGTGTGGTTTTACTATCCAATGAAAAGATAAGTGATAAGTATATACTTAAGCCAACTAAAGTAATTAAACGTTTTATACCTGTGATTATAATTATTACTTCAATACTTTAAACTTTATTGAAAAATATACTTTATAGCTATGTGATCCTTTTCTGGTTTCTACTCTGCTCGATAGCATAATCATTCATCTAATTGATACGACCATAATGGATTTGATCGATGTTTACGACAATATTCATAGAATTTTGTGCTATTTAAATAAGTTAGTCATTTTACACTTTCTTATCTATGAGTAAAATTTTTGGTATGCAAATAAGTTTTGATAAAATTCCTGATATAGCAAATTGATTCATTTATTTAGATTTATTTAAACTTTAGTGTGATCCAATTTTGTGTGAAATGTTGAGCATTGTTTGATAGATCATTGATAAACATTTGAATAAGATTAAAAAACAATATAATGAATGATCTAGCTTATCTAGTCAGCTAGTAACATTCAATTTAATTATTTTGACTAATTTATTATTAGATCTAGATTATATTAAATTACTATCAAATCTACGATATCATAATTTCTCGAGATCACAATTTATTACCTTTTCTCAATTGTTACTAACTACTATTTTTAATCATTATTATTTTATATTACTTATCATCCTAACTAGTATAATTAGATAATTATTATAATTGAAAAAGAATGTAAATATCTACACATCACTCACTTCACTAATTTTTCACTTCTCCGAGCAATTTTTTATCAAAACGATATCTTACAATCCTATCGAGCAGATAACATACCGTACTCCAACTTCTGATAGTCTTACATTAGTGATATTTCAATTACCCGATGTTATTTTTAAAATCAAATAATCAAATAAAAACATTTATGAATCTTCAGAATGTTCAAAAATATGAAATAATTAAAATTCTAAAATATCACTAATACCAGAAAAATGAATTTAGTTATTATTTGTAAGTTATTTTAAAAGCATTTTAATTTATTGCATTTATTACTTACTGTATTATTGTTTAATGATCTAATTCAATGCATTCTCATAGATCATCATAAAGCATTGTTAAAAATGCTATCGATTAATTCTTTATGAATAAATCATATGTTCTAAGCTCCTTTTTAAATTTTTTTTTCTTTTTAAATTTTTTTTTTTTTTTTTTTCAGAATGTAAAATACGACAATGATGTTTAAGTGAAACAGCAATCAACTGCTTATAATAATATAAAAGTAAATTTTATATACATATATTAGCTTTTAAAGTGACTTATAAAAAAAAGACATAGAATTAGGGAAGGAAGAAAAAAAAAAAAAAATTCTTGAAACATATGAATTGCATGAGGAACAAAATCTAATAATATCAAAGTTTGAATGATGTTAACAATTGACAGCCTACATTCTTGCAATTCTTTTATAATAGCCAATATTTTATATAATGTTTTGTGAAAAGATGTGTCCTATTTGAATTTGAGCAATTATTGTCTGATAATTTAGTTTTATAAAGTTAATAAATACAAGTAATTGAATTTTTTATCCGCATTTTTTAGTTTTTATAGTTAATAAACATAGGTAATTAATTTTTTACTTGTATTTTTAAGTTAATTTATATAATCACATCCTGTGAATATTTCAGCTTATTCTTTTTGATTTCATTATTTGTATTTTTATTTTAATCTAATTTTAGTTCCAAAATGAGTTCATATATCAAATTGTGGTTTTTTCTTTTTTTTAATAAAATCATCTTATTCATTTTCTCAGAATTTTCATGTAACTTGTAAAGATTATTTTAAGATTATTATTCTTTGTGTTTCAGATTGTAATCGATAATTTGCAAAGTGAAAAAAGAGAAATCAATGATTATGGAATTAAGAATTTTTAAAAGCAATCAAATCAGATCAACACGTTATCCAACCCATCTTTTTGAGCTTGTTCGTCTACCCTGTGGTACCGAGCTGTGTCTGAGTGATAAGCAAACACGATCGGTCACTGGGTAAAGGACCTTGCTCTGATCCATCATTTCATTTATTATCAATAATTAAAACGAAGACTTTATACTAATTGCTAGTTTATCATCTTACATTTGTAACGGACAATTTCATGAAGTCTCTCCGTTACCGTAAACTCTTAGCACCGCAGGGTGCCACCCTACATCACCTCTCTTCCTCACTTACAGAAACGATAATTTTTCAAAAAGCGAATAACATACCCATTGAACATCAAATTTAATTCGATTCAAATAATCTTCTGGAACTATTTAAAGAAAAATCGAAATGTAAGCTTAAATATATTAGTGCAAAAATGAGACCTATCAAATAAACTGGAAAGTTGATAACCTGTTAAATAATTGTCTAGGTGAGAAGCATTTTGAACTTAATGTTTCTTTGCTTCATGTCATCAGCTGAAATTCTGTGCAATAAATAAGTTAAAATATAAAGTGGCTTGATTAATAAAATATGTTTTTAGAGGAAAATACTAATGCAATATTAAAAAACAAAAAAAAAAAAAAAAAAATAAATAAAATAATGATCTGATAATGATGACACGAGAGAACCACACTAAACTTCTTACAACATCAAATATCGAATGAAAAAAAGTTGCTATAAAAATAAAATTAAAAACAGATAGGTGAGGTTCGTTAAGTTTTTCAACATTAGACGCAGATATCATAAATGATTCGAAATTTTTGAAAGAAAAAATATTTGGTATTAAAGTTATTGATTAGTATTGTTATTGATTGTTTTATAATTCAGTAAATTTTGAAATTTTTAATATTTGTACACCTGATTCGACATTCCAGAAAAAAATTATGTACTGCTACATTAAAAGATGAGTGAAATGGAGAGAAAGAACAGAATACCAAAAAGAGTACGAGTTAAAAAGTGAGGTCTATTTTTTTTTAAAAAAAAGGACAAAATTTGTCATTGCACTTGGAAAAACCTAAAAAGATCAAAAAAAAAAAAAAAAAAAATATTTGGAAGCTAATGTACAAGCACTGGATAGTTAATAACAGAGCAATTCCATTTCCAAATATATATTTATTTTTTACTTCAACAGTTTTCTGTTCAGTGAGATCGGAAATTTTGATTACAACATGTTAAGAAATAAATTTGGTAGTCGTATAAGAAAAGAGCATAGGAGGAAAACTTAATAAAGTGCATAAATGCTATCAGAATGTAAGCCCATAACGATGTACCCATTGGAAGTATTGATGATCGCTTCCACTACTCATATATTCACAACCGACATCCCAGTCACCAAATTTCTTCAGTATGTCAAACACATAACTATAATTTATTTCACCATCTGTATCTGGTTCACGACGACCTGGTACTTGAGCTACTTGAACATGTCCTGAGATTTGGTAATTAATAATTTCATGAAGACAGGAAATATCACACACTGGTTCAATTTCTAGAACTCCTTCGTTGGATATATGCTGGATTTTTTATGTATGAACGAATTGAATTTAAAGCAAAATCTGTCCAATATGCAGCAATTGAACAGTAAAATGAATTTTTAAATACTGATTCCCTTAGAGGTATTAATGATTTGCTAGCAAATAGTACTACGATAACAATGATTATAATAATTTTAGAAAATGCAAATGAAGTTTACAATTAACTTACCTACAAAAGGTGCCAGTGTTTCAATAGTAGTGGTAAGCTGACCACAAATTTGTTGAACATGAAATATATCCTACAAAATCACACTTCTATGGAAGTGGCAAAAACGACAAGAAAAAAAAAATGAAAGATTAGCATGAAATTTTGTTTCAAGAATGCACAGCACTCACCAACATGATCTGCAAGTTCGGTTCGTTGATTTCCTTTAGAACTTTTACAGCTGCAATATGCTTTCTATTATTTGCTTAGAAATAAATCTATGATAGCAAAATTCTAATTTTATATCACTACTATAAATGAGATGATAATAGCATGCAAATTGGTAAAAGACAAATAATTGAAAATGTAAAATTGATTAGCACCTTTCGAATAGGAATTCATGAAATAGCCAGGAATGGCAGCTTGGCAGATCGGTTCAATAAGACAAATTATTGATTCCTAAAAAAAACATTCTTAATATCATCACCTGGGGCAAATCTGCAAAGTTGTATAAATAAACGACTTATGATATACTATCGTAATATAATATTTTTATATATTATAATATATTATTTTTTAAACCTTTCTAAATTGTTGACAAGCCAAACGAATATTCTTAACATAAACATCGAAGTTCTCATTCGTTTCTTCAGCTATACCAGCCATTACGTGGACCTAAATTCACAAAGAAATGTATAAAATTTTGGAAAATGCAAGAAGAAATAAGTGATTTGGAAGCATAAGAATTTTCTAAAAATTTCAGAACATTCTGATGACGAATTCACGTATAGAAAGGAAACCTTTTGCACATTTAACGTTTTTGCATATTGAATTGCGATATCCAAAGATTCTATATACTTGGATGTTTGCTCTGGAAGCGCTGCAAGACCACGAAAACCTTCAGACCAATTACCTGTAATCCTTATGAAACAAATATATACGAAGAAAGAAAAAAAAAAACTAAATTATCAGTGAGAAACACCGAAAATGAAAAAACAATGAAAAAAATAGCATTGGATTAACTCAAATATCTAACGAAAGAAGGAATATACTTTAAGAAAAATTGAAAAAAGAGAAAAAAAAACTAAGTTATACCAGCGGGTGCATTAATAAGAATATGTCTGAGATGATAACGTTCGGCTTGATGTAGCAATTCCTCAGCTGGCCATCCATATGGCAACGATACTTCAACAAGTTGAAAACCAAGTACAGCTGCTCTTCCATATCTTCATGAACTGTTCTGGATAATTATCGAAGGTGGATAATTTAATAATTCTTAATCAAACTTAAAATTATTAATTTCGAATTAGTATAATTCTTTTTATTTAATAAAGGACTGTTGCTTAAACATTTTAAGATAAGTAAATTTACTATTTTAAATAGAATGAACAGTTCTATATTGCTTACTGTTCGTTTCTCAACTGGAACTGATGTTACATCAGATGAATGAATTAATTAAAATGAAATAATTAATACTTTTGTAGCATATCCATCTCATGAAACATCATCGTTAAATTAGCAGCGACACGCATCGTTTCGTCGAAATGCTTTAAATTCCTTCACTAGAAAGACGAATAAATCTAAAGAAGTAAGAGAGTGTAATAAAAATGTTCTCACTTATTAATTTAATCTATTCCAATTCCATTCATTCTATTCTTGCATCATTCTGCTTAAAATTTTAATTTTGATCTTAATTCATTTATTCCATAATGCTTCTAATTCTTTTTGTTTGATCATTTGTATATTCCAATTGTTTTGATTTCAGGACAATAACACTGTTTGTCTAAGTTAGAAGTAGGTAAATAGGAAGAAATAGAAGTACTTTTCAACTCTCGAAATTCTATATTGTGAGAAGTTTACTTGTTATTAATTAATTTAAATATTGTGTGAATGATACTATGTTAGCATCCTCTGCTTATAACATCAAAGATCAGTTTGATTTAGTTTATTTCATAAAATTACATCGTTAGCAAGGAATTATCCTAATACATCATGAACATTTCATCTGAAGCGTTGAGAGAGGGAAAGGGAGAGAAAGAAAGAGAGAGGAGGAGAGAGAGAGAGAGAGGAAGAATTAAAAAAATATATCCATATGGCAAATAGCATTCGGAAATATTATGAAAACGATAGAGAGAGATTAATAAAAAAGGAGGTAGAAGAGAGAAGGTTACGTGTGACAAAAATAGAAGAGGGAAAGTTACGTGTGACAAAAGTAAAAGAGGGAAAGTTACGTGTAACAAAAGTAGAAGAGAGAAGGTTACGTGTGATAAGAGTAGAAGATGGAAAGTTACGTATGACAAAAATAAGAAAGAGCCAAGGCAGTACTTCTCATAAACGAGAGAGAGAGGGAGAGAGAGGATTGGTCCTCCAGTTGTTATGTTGCCGACTTGCGATTATTTCGATGCAGGAAAGGTTGTCGAGAGTGACAACACATGTTTGTGGTCAATACCAGATGTAATGTATGTCACACCTGTATTCAGTACCAAATTTCATTCCAAACATAATTTTTCATCTATATGTAATACATTTAACAAAAATTTAAAATCGAATAAATGTCTCATTTATATATCCCAGAAAAGAACTTATAAAATAATTTAGGGAGGCAAATGACCATCTGATGGACATTATAATTGTTTTCAATTATAGTTATATCAGTTTTGTTTGCCAAATTAAATGTAAATAAATATTGCATTACACTTTTCATTCATATGATTGATATTGAGGGAATGAATTAAATTTGGGTAATAATCAAATTAAGTATTATTTCTAGGGCTAAGCAATATTGGCTATCTAATTCTTTTCAAAGGATAATGAAATTGCACAGATATAAATCTGCCCAAAGTGTGACAAATATTCATTGCAAATTGTTTTGATAGATAAACTGAGAAATGATAAATCATATTTACAAAAAACAAAATATTTTCCTTAAATTGTACTTAAAAAAAAAGCTCTGTTTTTTAGAGCAATTATTTGTCATTAATTCCATCTTTGTTCCATTTTTTCAAATATTTTTTTCTAACTTTATCAGTTTTTGCTTTATTTTATTTGGTCTCTAATATTTTTTGCCTTTTTTCCATTAATTGAATTTAATTTCTCTTTAAACATTTTTTGTTCACTTCCGAATGATATATTCAGTAATATTCCGATTGTGTCATAAATTCATATTTTGTTTAAATTTCTCGAATTAAAAAACGAAACATTTTAGTGTTTTAATCAAAGAAATTATCATTCATTCAATGATTCATTTTCTTTTATAAAATGAATTATTTTATTAAAAATGAATTTGTAACTAGAATCAACTTTATAATATAATTACTTGTTATTTAAATAAGCAAATGAAATAATGAGGATTGTTATTTCGAGAAATAATTAAGCATCTCATTTAAAAAAAAAAAATATTTTTTTTTTTTGTTTTCTTAAAGCATAAATAAAAAATTTAACAAAAATAAGAATTTTCATGAACAAAAAAATCACCAAGGGTAGAGGTTAACGGATAACATTGATGAATGTGACATCATTTATCTTATCACGTTTATCAAAAAAACCTGTCGAGAATACCTGTGTTCATTCTTTTTTTCTTGTTTCCCCTTCCACTGGATGTCAAGAAAGAAAGAAAAATGAATTATCTTTAGTGATATTTTTAGAAAGTATTTTTAAAAAAAAAAAAGGAATGAAAAAAATAGGCGCAAATGACAATGTGATGTATGAAAGGCCTAATTGATAATAACAATATTTAAATTCATTCTTCTTCGAAATATCGTTCATAAAGAATTTTGTTTCAGTATCTATTCTTGCTTCTGGTAAAGTATTTTTTAATGATTTTCAATTTCGGTTTGTTCCTGCCGAATATGTTTCGGAATACTGGATTTGTCTATATCTATTAGAGGCATATTATACACATTCTATTATATATTTATCCATTGTAGTTGACCGGAAATTCAATTCTGGATTTAAGTATACAACTATTCTGGAATTATAAATAGCTTCGTATTTTTTTTTTGAAACTTTTGTTCAAATATAAATAAGTGTATAAATAAGTATAAGTATGATACAATGATAATGCATAATAAGATAAGGAGTATGAGTAAATTCCTAATCATTCTTGAGTAGTAAGTAAAATCAAAAACTCTATTGTAAAATAATGTGACAAAATTTTCAGTATTTATAATTTATAATACTAAGGAAAAAAAAATATTATTAGGAAATTAATATCCAAAAATTTGAAAATTAGTTCAAAAGGAATGAAATTTTATCAAAACATTTCTCATAGCACAATATTACATCACTTAGAGAATCATTGAAATGAAAATGATAATGGAAGATAAAAGAAAACGATGATAAGATAAAGATCAATATTTTTACTTTTTATTAGATCATATTTAAATCAAGCAATTTGTATTTCATATTTTAAAAAATCGCAATTATTTTCCACTTTCATACATTTCGAATATTTTTCATTTCTTTCTAACTTTTATTTTCACATTTTTTTTTAAGTGGAATATTCTATATTAATTAGTTTCTACAATTTCTTATCATAAAAGAATATTATTACTGCAAAAAATACTTACAGAAATTGTAAATTTATCTTTTTTCCTTTTTGTTTCTGATATATCAAACCATATTTGATTTTAATGAAATAAACTGTAAGTAACACTGTTATAGTTAAAAATTAAAAGTTAAATCAATATTTCAATTATTTATATCATTTATATAAATGAGTGTCAAAATATTATAATAAATTTAATCTTTTATAAGTTGAAAGTAAACATTTTTTTTTTTTTTTTAAGATCAACAATTTCTATATATAAAATCGATGAGAACTTTTTGCTAATTGTACGAAAAATATTATTGATGACGGAACAACAGGTTGAACATTACAAAAAAATTGCTTTTTTTGGTGTGGCAATTAGGTAAATTTTTATTATTAGAATTATCACACATATTAATTATATTTATTTTATCTATTAGAAATAAAAGTTTTAAATTTTATCGTAAAATTGAGTGCAAAAAAAATTGTATTTATAAAGTGCATTTTATATAAATATTATTAGATTAAATTTGTGAAGATATTTAGAGAAATGTTATTTATCGATTTGAAATAATTTGTTTACATCAATTCAAATTTTAGTACAGTAGCTACAATATGTAGTGTAATTGTGACACCACTTCTTTACTACTATATTCAAATTATACAAACAACTTTGACAAACGAAATTGAATTTTGTAAACAACGTTCAAAAAATATGTGGAAGGAATATGCAAATATTGAGGAGGTTAGTTTTATTTAATGTCATTCATTAGTTGATGAATTGAAAAATCTGTTCCAAAATCTTAAAAATTTAATTAACTCAACAGCTATCTTTAAAAAAAAAAAAAAAAAAAAAAAAACGAGAAAATAGAATCAGTAGTTATTAAAATAAAATCAGTAAAACATTTTGCTGATGAATTTTCAAATTTTACGACTAATTTCCTATTTTCAGATGTTAAACGTCAAAGAACAACGTTCGTGGCGTAGTCCACGTCAAACAAATTTCGATTACTACTCACCAATGAGTAATGGAGAAACATCACCCTATGATGTTTTAAGACCTTATTCGGATCCCAGAGTAATGCAGGCACATACGGTTTATGATATTCAGGGTCCATACTCAAATCTTGGTTTACCGCAAGTGCAAACAGGTGTTTATGATATTCCAGGACCGTATCTGGAACCTGAAATACCGCAAACAGAAGTGTACCAGAATTCTGTATGCTGTAGTTGCAAAATTGGTGAAGCAGGCGAAGTAGGGCCACCTGGACCACCAGGAGATCCAGGTTTTTGAAATTAACTTCGAGTAGGTTTATCGCATTATAAAATCAGTGTTAGTAAAAAGTATTCTTTGAGGAACTGATGGGTTGCCGGGTAAAAATGGTCGTCGAGGTCCAGATGCAATTGAAGGATTGGATTTTCGCTATCAGGAATGGTGTTTCGATTGTCCACCAGCACCAGCTGGTCCTCCTGGTCTGCAAGGACCAAAGGGACCTCCTGGTCAACGTGGTGCACGAGGCCTTGATGGACAGAATGGAGCTGATGGTACTTTGAATTAAACTCAATTTAAAGTCATAAATTTTATTTATTGAGTTAGTAGAACTTGCTTTGCAGGACTAATCGGGTTTCCTGGAGAACCAGGCAGACGTGGACCTCGTGGAAGTCCTGGATTAAGAGGACAAGCAGGTGAACCAGGGAAGATTCATAACATGCCGGGCAGGAAAGGAATACCGGGTCCACCAGGTTTACCCGGTCCACCGGGACCTGATGGTAAGAATGGACTTGATGGACAAAATGGACATCGAGGACCACCGGTCCGTTACTTCCTTCATTGGTGTTTACTCATTAACTGCAAATAGTATATATATATATATATATATATATATATATATATATATATATATATATATGTAAACGAAAAGTTTATAGCGCGATCGTTTTTTGTTAGTTCATAGAAATTTAAAAATTTCAGGGTCCTCCCGGTGCACGAGGACCACCAGGACCACCAGGACGACGAGGAGCACCTGGTTCTGATGGTCTTGCTGGCAAAAAGGTAATTGTGTTTTGTTTTATTTTTCATACTTTCCAATTAAATTTTTTTTTTTTATGTGTACAAAAAATAAACTTGCAAATATGTTATATAATAAAGTTTTTTTTAATTTTATCCATCAAAGTGTAATTGAATAAGAAGAGAAAGAGTTGAGAAATGGAAATGTTTTTATCAGTAATGTAGCAAATTATTAATTAATTTTGATTCAATTAATTGTTAGAATTACAAATGAAATAGAATATTTCCTTTCGAAGATACTTAAAGAAAGTGACAATGTGACAGTCACATGAGCAGTATACGTCGAAATTATGCTAGCAAGTATTAAATATAATATTTCTTACACATATACAGATTATCTTTAGGGTAGCGGAAGTGAGTGTGACCATTGCGCATTGCCACGTCTTGAATCATCTGGTCACTCATAACAACCACTGTACATTTCTTCTATTTCCTTACATCGCTTCATGACAATTCATAAACAGACAATTTCAATTGTATTTCAACAATTCTGTTATTCTGTACATTTTGTTTTATGCTTAAAAATTTTTTAAAGTTTTTGTATTTTCCAAATTTTGAGTATATGTAGATTAAAATTACAAATTTGCTAATAAATTTGCATAATTTTTATGAGTAGCACCAAATAATTCTTATGAAATCTTCCATTTTTTTTTCTCTGTTTTATATAAAAAGTAAGAAGTGTTTGAAGATAAAAAAATGATAAAAGATATGATAGTGAAATCTTTTCATGCAAAAGAAATGAGCAAATATTAATTTGGTAATAAAAGTGAATCAAATAAAGTACGAAAATTATAATCGAATTTCTTTTTTCTTTTTTTTTTTCACGCATTGATGAAAGTATAATATTTGAATTAATAAATGAGATCATTGATTAGTTATGTGAAAAGATTGATAAATGATAATAATAAACTGATAATATATTTATAATATTATTCTTCAGTGATTGGTAGAGCAAGCCATGATGGAAGTTCATGTTTATTGCCTGGATAACGACGTTTTAGAGCTGCTTGAATTTGTTCAATAATAAATTTATAATCTATTGGATAAGGTGACAATGTCATATACATTAATCTGAAAAAATTTTTTATGATAACACATATGATAAAAAGTGTTTGTTGATATATAAATGTGTGAGAGATAAGATTGATATGAATATTTCCAGAAGAAGAAGAAAAAAAAGCTAAATTTAATTTGTTTATTTTGAGTGAAAAAAAATGATCAATTAGACTTCATTGTAATACTTAAAGTAAAATCATTTTCCAGGCTTTTTTATTTATTCACTGACCAAAGTAATGCCTAATATTTTTACCTATGAACAATAGCATTTACCTGTAAAGGGATCGAATTTCTCTGGGAAGTCGTTTAAATTCGATAGTTCGATAAAATAAACATTTCATATCACATACTCGTTTTTCATCAAACACCGAACGCCATGGTAGTTTACCCGAGATCATTTCAGCAATCACATAAATTAAAGCTATGATATCATCTGAGGGACCCTTTAATTTATACTATTATTTTGTTTTTGATTTTTATTTTTCAATTTATTATTTTCTTTCCATTTTTGTTTCCAATTCTTTTTCCTTTTCCTTTTTTTTTTTTTTTCTATTTTTTCCTTAAAAAAGTTAATTTTCTTTGTGATTATTTAATCAAAATTTCTTTATGTTTATTTAATCGTTCAGAATATCATTTCACCTGTTCACGTCCTCGATGAGCTCTTACCGAACTGTACCGAATTGTACCAACAAATGGTACAAATGAACGTGGCTTACAAGGCCATGGCAAAGCTAAGCTTAAATCGATGATTAGCATGCGTGATTCGATGGAATCATAGGAGATTGGATTGCGATATGCAAAACTATAATTAAATTTATTTAAAAATTAATATACAACTGTCAATTTTAAAGGTATTAATTAAGAGAATGGCATGGCACTAATGAACCATTAAATTAAATTCAATCAATACTAAATTATGATTTACCTGTACGGTGAGACCTGACGATGAACATAACCGAGTCGATGAAGTGATGCAAGAGCTCGAACATATCCTATCATAATGGCTAATGCTAGATCCAACGGGACAGTACCTGTAGGTGATAATGATAGCAGTGAACCCACCAGCGATGCATGATACTCAAGAATGGCACACGGTCGTCCAATCCATTCCGGATCCCGTTCAGCATCCTGATCTCCGCTTTCACCAAATATCATCTAATTAGTAATTGATTCGTATAATTAAAACTTTTTTAACAAATTATTTATTCTAATATCTAAATTTTTCCTAAATCAAATAAAAAAAAAACTAATATCTAAACTAATACCTAAATTTTTCCTAAATTTATAAAATTTCAAATTATTTATCTTCGATATTTTTTTTGAATTGTCTTACTAAATCTATAATAAATTTTACCTTTCTGAGACGGCCATAGCAAATTATTTTTGGAAAATGCACAGAGCGACCTTTGACCAATTCTAAAATTTTCACAGTTCGGTGTATGGCTGTATTCTTCCGATCACTTGTTTTATCATGTCTTGCAATTAACATATGCATTACCTATAAATTTTTTTAATGAGAAAATTATTCCTGAACAAAATAAATCTATTTAAATTGCTTAGCAAGTAAACAAAGCTTAGCAAATAAAGTAAACAAAGCAAGTAAAAAAAAAAAAAAAACTAAACTTAGTCACTAAACAGCTTAGTGATCAAGCAGAGCAATAATTTTAGAAAAAACTTTTGTAAAGCTTAATTTTTAAAAAATTTTTTTTTCGAAAATTTAAAAATTTTTCCTTGAAATTTTGATTTGTAGCTATTATTATTATATCAAGTGTTAAAAAAAAAAGAACAAAATTGTATTGAAAACTTATTAAAATAGCGTTAATTTTGTTATTCAATGTTTGGAGTAAAATTTTCAATCATTAAATGAAAGAAATAAAAAGTACAGTATCAGGCGCTTTATCATCATAAACTTGATGTGTTGTGTATTCTCGATCTATTGGGTCATCTTCTGTGCATGTGATAAAGAATGCATGCTTATCATAATCAATAACACCGCAGATATTTTCTACATTCTCTTCAATTTCACCCCAAAAAACTGTTCCTGCCATATTTTATCAGTATTGAAAAACTGAAAAACTTTTCACGAACATTTGTTTGAATTTAAAAATGTTCATTTATCAACATTTATCAATTAAACTTGAATTATCAGCATTTATCAATTAAATCTTATCAAATTATTTTGAGAAGTTATTGAAATATGCAAACTGCAAATTATTTCATATTTATTTGAGATATGATTATTTATTTAATATTACGTAACGAAGCAAATAATAAGTGCGGGGGAGTAAGCATAGTTCAAGAGGACAAATAAATGTCACAAGAGATTATTTTCTGAGAAAAATCGCAATAAAATGTCAACATTGAATAATTCATTAGTTGACATCATTTTATTGCATAAAACTTTACATATATATTATTTACAGAAATATTTTCATTTCAAATTCAAACACACTGATGACGTAAAAACTCCCACTAAATATGAATAATTAAATTTGATCTGACGTATACATTGTAGTAAACGTGACGATGGAACTTGTGATAAGCAAAATTCCTTTTATTTTATTTCCTTATCATTTTATTTATTTATTTCCCATTCATTCATTCATTCATTCATTCCTTTCTATCTTATTTACCGTTCTCTTATTTTGTTTATTTATTTTCACCAATACAAATTGCAGCACACAAAATATTCGAACAGAACATAAAATACGATTCAGAATTGATGATTTCTCAATAATTCTATAATTTATGATAATTCTTCTGAAAGAATTTTAGAAATTCTACAACTTACATTCGGTTTTTTTTCAAAATAAACCAACCACTTGCAATGATATTCACTAGCAAATGTTTTAGCAGCTGTTAAATCAAATCATTTATACTACAATTTAATTTAAATTCAAACTTGCATACTATTTCATAAATTAGAAATTTAAAAAAAAAAAAAAAAAATTGTTCTTTTTTTCACATTTGCAATAGTATAATTCGGAAATTGTTCTCGAATAGGTAGCTTAATTATTTACCTTCATAGATTAAATTAACCGATACTCTTAGTTTAACTTTGCCTTCCAGAATTGTGCATTAGTAATAAGAAGTAATCAATTCTGCAATCAAAATAAATATCTAAATAGGATCTTATGGAAATGAATGTTTGAATATGCTAATTAATCTAACTTACTTCAAACATTTCAAACTCTTCACAATATTATATTTTTAATTCCAAAATTTCCTTCCTTTTATTGATTCAATTGCTAATACAATTTAGAATGGAAATTAAGGAAGAAGCAAAGAGTTTCTCTTTAATTATCTTTTATTTTAATCATTTTTTGTTCCATAAAATTACAAATATTTTTTCATTGAATGATAGGAATTTAACTATTCTTTTAGTCAGATAGAAAGGTCTTTTAGTCAATATTCATTTCCTATTTTTTTTTTTAAAGATTCATAAATTTACCTGTATTGAAAAATTAAAAGAAAAAAAACAGAAGAAATGGAGCAAATAAAAAATTAAAAAATAACTGAAAATTAACTATTAAATTTGAAATTGTGAAAGTACATCTTCTTAGATAGTTTAGTTAGTTGAAAAAAAAAAAAAAAATTCAGATATAATAAAGTTAAAAAACATTGATATTAACTTCTTTTCAATAAACAATGACGGAAAGAAAAAAAAAAACTAAAAAGCAAAAAGTTGAGGTAAAGAACATTCGGAAAATATTATTTTTATCCTCTTTAGCTAAAAAAAAAAAAAAAAGAAAAAAGATTTTTTTGTATTATTTATGAAATTCAAATCTTTAATGAAATTTCTTTGTGTCATTCCTTCATTCACTAAAAGTTTCATTCGTTCATTTATTTAATTATTGATAAGATTTAATAATTAAGTTTGAAAGTATAAAAGAATATATTTTAGTTCAAACTAAACATTTGATTTCATTTTTCACTCGTCAAAAATGTGCCAATGTATTTACCTTTAAATGTTTCTCAAATTAATAATAACATCCATTTCAGCAAACGAATTTTAATCGAAGAATCGAAGAGTTGAATGAAACGATTATGATAAGTTTAATATGTTAGATTAAAATTTATTATTTTAAAATTAATGCAAACATAAATTTGATTAATTATTGAGAGGAAGACATAACATAATTCATTTATTTTAATAGATATAGCAAATTTAACCAAAGATTAAACTAATAATTGTTCTTTTCAGTATATTCGAATTTTGCTCATCAATGTTCAAATCTATTTCGAGCTATGAAATTAGCTTTTTTATAAATTAAAGTTTAATCTCATGCAAGCATCGTCTAGAATGTAATTCAAGTTTGACAGATATTCATCAGTGCTTCATTACTTCATGACTTATCTATTTATATTGATATATCGAGAAAAAAAAATAAAATAAAATAAAATAAAATTCCATTTAAAGGAAAAAAGCCTAATACTTGTTTGAGGCACACAGATTAGATATGACACAATTTGCCATCCTCATACATTTTTTTTTTTTTTTAATCATTCAAGTATTTTAAGTCGACATTATCAATAAAAGAGAATGCTAGTTAATTTGTTGATTTTTTTTTTTAAATATTATTGACTTCTCATTTATACGTCATTTACGTCATACGTCAATTCACAATTTAAATCTTTTTTTTTTTTTTTCTTTTTATGTATTTTCAAAAAAGAAAACGAAAAAAAAAAAAAAAGCCATTTAATGAGTTCTTTCTTTTTTTACAACAAATAATTAAAAATGCAATTATAAGAAAGAGAAAGAAAGTTAAAATTATAACACAGTTTAAATATAAGATAAAAAAATTTCTCAGTGAGAAAAGAAAAGAAAAGAGAAAAAAAAAAAAAACGCAAAGAGTTAATTAGTTCTATTTTTCCCTTTCTTCTCTTTATGTCTCCCTCTCTCTCTCTCTCTCTTTTTTTTTTTAATCCTCAAAGCAATACTTTGAATGCTAATGATTGAATTTTTTTTTTTTTTTTGTTTCCATTTTTAAACTATAATATGCCTAAAGGTATTCTCATTATTCTTAAATAGCAGTTAGAAATTGAATGTTCATTTTAAATCTTTTCTTTTAGTAAAAATTAACAGAAATAAGAAATTATAAGTTTGAAAAATGAGAAAGAAAATGTTTAAACTAATTTGCATATATTTCTTATATTTTTGAATTGTTAAAAGAAAAAAAAAAAAAAGAATTCAGTATTATAAAATTAAATAAATGAAAGTAAAAATTATAATAAAATTAATTATTCAATTCATTCGATTTTATGCCACTACCAAAATGTTTCAATGCTTTTTGAGTTTCGTCGGTTTTTTTTTTTTTTTTTTTTTTGTTTTTTCAAGAAGCTATTGAGACATCTCAAAACTTTTATTGGAAATCAACTTTTCTTTTTGACATGAAATCATCCAAATCAGATTGAATTTATTTTTTTTTTTTTTTTAAAAAAAAAGGCGAACAGGTGAACTATGCTTTTATTCAAACTTCACTCATCGTTTTTTCTTTTTTCTATTTTTTTCTTACTCCTTTTTTAAAGTGAATTTAAAAAGTTCGAAACAGACAAATTTTTTTTTTTCTTTTTTTCTTCAAGCAGTGATACGCCCACTTATTACGTATGTAAGATTAACTGCTGCACAACATTTGTTGTTATATTTAGCTGTATGATTAGGGTAGGTCGAGAGTGCACGTGAAACCCGTGTTGAGAAGAAAAATTCACGTCAATCTACGCTTTCTCCTTGTATTTGGATACAATAGCAAATTAGATCATATGGTTTTTACTTGTTACTTTAGAAGTATCATTCATTTTTTAATTAGTTATAGCAATATATACTCATTAATAATACTAACTTATTTTTTATCAATTTATGAAGGTGTCTAGGTATGTCTGGTTACCTTAGAAATGCTTCAATGTTCAATTGAATTTGAATTTCATAGAGTTTTGTTTTTTGACATTCCTTCAAGTAATATAATGTTTTCTTGTTTTACATTCATCGTAAATATTTTTGTTTCTAAAAAAAAAAAATTGATTTGAGCTTAATTAATTGAAATGTGTGATTGCTATGATTTGTGTTAGGCAATGTTGATTGCAAGAGAATTAGCATTTTCGGAAAAAAAAAAACATGATTATTTTCAATATAATTAATGAATTTTAATTCTTTAAAAAAAATTTAATGTTTAAAAAAAAAAAATATTCTATGTCATTAATTAAATTAGCTTACACAGGAAGTTGAGAGTTTGAAAATTTTGCGTAAATTTTCTTACTTTTAGTTAAACTAAAACATCAGAATTTATTTTACTGATATAATAAATGAATGTTATTATATTTGCAATAGTCGAAAGGGACAAATTCCAATAATCAAAGGGCCTAGGAAAAGACAATGAAAATTGTTGGACAAAGAATAGTCTTCAAGAGTCAGAGCCTAGGCCACAAAATCTCTGCATTAAGTAATGTTAATGAAAATTTCATGTATTCTCAGCACAAAATATTTGGCAATGATAACTAAACAAAGATAATATTATTATTTTTGATAGCATCAAACTCATCTCAATCTATTCACAACTATTTTCAAACATTTCAGAATCATTCTTTCATATAAATTTGAATTTGATTAAAAATTGGGAAATTTTCAATTGCTAATGATGTCATTCATGAAGCTATCATTTCTCATCATCGATGCATTTAGCTAGCCAAATATAAACCTTCAATGAAAATAAGTGGTAAATGAAGAGCAGATCTCATAAATGATCTCATAAACTCATTAATTATTGAATATGTAAATGTTGACGTTGATATTATTTGAAAGGAGTAGTAATGAAATACTTGAATTTGAATTATTTATTTATTAATTTGATCATTCAAAAATGCATTTCAAAATGTATTGATTATTCTTGGAGCAAATTTTTCAATAAAAATTGCTTCTTGAATTATTTTTAATTTATTTTTACAACATCATCTTGACTGTATAATATGAAAATCTTATAATTAACAACTTTGAAAAAGTAATTTTCAAAAAAATTCAATTTTAAAAGGTAACTGGTATATCTGCTTTGAAAAA